ATTGCTTTTTGCTCAGCATCAATGTTATCATCTTTATTTGTTACTTCCCAAAATTGAGCTCTCTCTTGTCGAAGTTGATCCAATACCTGCGGATCAGGTTTTGTTGCTACTAAATCAGTAAACTCGCTTTGATGCTCTCTTATATACCTATGTCTCATTCTGTCTTTTGTATTTTCCTTTTCCTCAAGAACTTTAAGAGCAGTATTAATGGTTCCTATGAGACTATCTATATCATTATATGAACCTCGTTTTAAAATCACCGGATAAGGGAGATAATGTATACTTCCATTCATGAAATATTTAATTTTAATTAATTCTCTATATGGAATATTATACCACGAATTTGTATAGCTGATTGTAGATAATCCTACTTCCCATTCTCCTGGTAAAGATAATCTTCTAAATAGTGGAGTCTTGTAATTTGCAACTGTATTCTTATAAGTTTTGTTTTCAACATTGGAAGGCAGGGTCATATAGAATTGATCCATTTTGTTTATTCGGATTTAATTCGTACGTCACTATTATTAACATACGTTTCTAGTTTAACATCATAATCATTATTAAACTTATATGTTACAGATTTACAACTTACAGTAGAAGCTTTTCTTGCTCTTCGTAAATGTAAAGTAATATTCACTGCACTACACTTAACTATTTGCCCATTTTTCATGACTTTTATGTTTAAACTTTCATTTGGAAGTACAGTAATATATTCCATTCTTAATTAATAGATTAGCTACCTTACTATTATCGGCTATCATCATATGGGTTTTTATCATCTTCTTCATCATTTGTATTAGGTTTATTAGAATTATCTTCATTAGTTACGTTAGTTCTTTTATCTAATGGATGTTTAGTATTATTGGCATCTGCTCTTGCCTCTTTAACATAAGCATCGTTTTCTGCAACTTTTTGGGCATATTTAAATCGAATTTCACCTGGTCGATGGTGTAAACCATCATTTGGAATACTTTTAATTTGTTCTACTTTTCTAAAATGTAAATGTATAGAAACTCTTCCACAAAGGAAAAGTACTAATTTATCTTTTTTAATTAATTTAATATTAATATTTTCTAATTTCTGTTTGGATAATTGATGATAATAAGGTCTATTAAATATTTGATGAACTTGAGGTCGATATTCTAACTGTTTATCATCATAAATCCTTCGGAGAACGTTGGTATCTTTTCCATCAACAAAATGGCAATGGATTATATCTGTTGTGACATCAAACGAATCTAACCAATTATCTAAATTTTGATTTATATATTTATCGTCAAATCTATCGCCTCGTAATTTAACAATAGCTAAATCTTTTATTGATTTATTTGCTTGTATATCCTCTCTATAAGCTTCGTAAGTGCCATGTATATATTTATATATTCTTTCTGACGGCATACATATAACATTACCTAATATTTCTGAAAATACAGGATAAACGAGAATTTTCATTCCATCATCATTTCGAAGGTAACCAGGGTGATATTCTATTGAATTTTCGTAATATACAAGATGTGGACTATAAGAATCTGAAATAAACAATTTATGGACCGTCCATACTTTCTCTGTCTCTGCATCTAGATTAGTGCGTATATCTTTTATAGCATTATTTAATGCCCATAACAATATTTTATAATCATATTCACCAGCTTTAATTGTAATTTTTCTGGTAGATTTTTCTGTTAAATCAGTTTTATCAAAATAAACTAATTTAATCCATTGATCTTCTGAAAACGTAGCCCAACTTCTAGGGTATGATATCTCAGTCAAAGCTACTTCCCATTCTTCTTCTTTAAAATTTGGTGCAAAATTGTCTTCGACATTTTTAGTAAAATCAGATAACAGAGTTTCGTCTTCATATTCTTTATAATTAGTCAACGTTAAATGGAATGAGTTAGACATTGTTATTCCTTAATTAAAACAAGGTTACTATTATAGACTTTTATTTGATTTGATATATAATTTAAGTACAATTCCAGTATCTAGATACTTTTTAGTAAATGATTTAATTTTAAAATCATTATCAATACATTCTAATTTATCCATTATATTATCGACGTCATAATTTTTAATTTTAATATGAGTATAATATTGGTAATTATTAAAATCAATGGCATTATATAAATATAAACTTAATTCATCTTCTTTGTTGAATTCTTTTATACAATCCATTATTATCTTGTCAAGGATATTTGGTATATCAATTAATATTTGAACAAAATTAACATCTTCAGTTATATATTCAAATTTGAAGTGTACTGTTTTAACGGTTCGTGTAAAATTTGAATATTCAATTATATGAGTACTCGAATCCAAAGTATGATACCCTATACTTGAATGTTTTTTAGACATTATTATCTAGACTTAATCTAGCTTACTATTATAGCTTTTGTATGTCTGATTGAGGAATCCAAGAATTATATGTTTCTGGATAATTTAACCATTTAATAAAACATTCTTTAATTCCATTTCTTGTCCTTGTTTTAATAATTTTTTCAACCCTATATAAATTTTCTTTGACCTTTTGAACTTCTTCAGGGTTCAGGGTCTTTGTTTAACATCATCACCGTTCTTTATTTTATATAAAGGTTTAGAAGGCTCTTTGATTGCATCTGAAACTTTATATATTTGATCTGTCCAATTTACCAGCTGTCGAATAACTATTGGGATTAGACTGATCATAATAAATACCTGTTAGTACATTTTCAATTTCCATTATATGGTTATCCAATTAAGCCTTTTCTTTACGGGCGAAATGTTTGTATATAGCTTACTATTATTAAGTTTATCTTGTATCTCTTTATTATTAAACATATTTGAATCTATACCTGCTTTATCAAGAAGCTTTATAAAATTATCAATATATTCTAATTTAATGCTATTATCATTTAAGGCATTAATATACTTAATTATATTTGGGGTTCCTTTAATTTTCATGTTTAAATTATCATCGTAGGCATTAATTTTAGCCAACTTTAATATTATGGAAATAATATTACTTTCAGAACCGTATGGTACAACCATCATTTTTTTGAAACTCATTGTATTAAAGAAGTTATTATAGAGGCAATGGTCGGAATTAAAATAGGAAGGAATCCTCCACTTTGTTTAATTAATTTAGTTCTATGATTACTATTATTATTTCGCAAAAATTGTCGTAATATACGGTTATATTTCTTCATTTGTCTTTTTTCTTTGCTACTTAATTTAATGTTACCATATTTATAATTAATTGCAATTTCTTTTAAGGCATTATATAGGTTATCATCACCAATTTTTTGCCTAAGTTGTTCTAATAATCTTTTACGTTGTAATGAACTTTTTGTATTTGCAATACGTTTAAAGGCGTTGAGAAATTTGGGCAACATTGTTGCTTCAATAATTAAGCTATGTTTCTATTATTAACTAGGCATATAAATTATTGGGGAAAATACACCATTATTTTCTTCAGGAGTAAGTCTCGACATTATTCTGTATTCATCAGGAGTATCAGGTGTACAATCATATCTTATATACCCGTACGCATGCGCTGTAGCATCATTAAATGATTCAATAAAAAACTTGGCATTTGAAGGATAGGCCTGCCTTCCATATCTATTAACTTGTGTTTTATCTCGTGGATTCTTGAGTAAAGTAACATATTGTTGATTCAAACTAATTGTTCTAAATGATCTTGCATCGTAAAATCCATTTTGAACTAAAAAGAATACGCTTATATTTAAATGATGAGATTTTTTAATAAATATATTTTCAAACGATTTATCTTTATTCATCTCATTTAACAAATCATCAATAATTACAATATCAGGCTTAATGATAGTTAATTGTCCTTCATTTGGAATTCCTTCAATATAATGTATATTTAAAGATTTGTCTATAGGAATATCAATTAAACTATGCCATTGACCGTATGCCCATAATACATTTAATTTTGGCTTATTCAAATTGTGAAATAATATCTTATTATGTTTAATAATACGTCTAATTAACTCTGTTTTCCCACTACCCGTCATTCCTACAACTAAGCAATTACATGGATGCTTGAATTGGCAATGTTTTATATCAATTTCCATTATTTTTTATTGTTTTAAAATTAATCTGTCTATTATAAATTTCTAGACTATATTAGTCTTGGAACAGTAATTGCTAAGATTAGTACAGTATTAGACTTGAACAAGACCATGTCTATTGATATGCAATGTCGCTTATGTTTGGAGAGCTCAAATAAATCATCAATGATAGCTCCATGTGACTGTAAAGGAACTATAGCTTACATACATAATAAGTGTCTTCAAATGTCTATTGAAACGAATGGAAGACTTGTATGCGAAATTTGTAACAAAAAATTTATTGGTATTACGGTTACTAGAGATAAATTAACATTTTGGCGATATTTCTACAAAAATCCATATGATTTGTTTGTTATACTTATATGCCTTTGTTTCACAATTACATTTACAATTCTATGGATTTGGGGGATGGTATTAGCCTATGACTATAAACCAAATAGTAACATAAAAGACGATAAAGTAGCACTAATATTTGCAATATTTCCTGCTTGTTATGGATGTGCTGGATTGTCTATTTTACTAGATAAATATAATGAGTCAAACTTACTTAAACCAAAAATAATCATTGTATAATTATGTATTAATAAAATAATTATTCACAACGTGTTCCATTATATTCATAAATTTTAAAACAATTTATATGTCTTATAAGACTGTTTATACTTAAAATTTTTATAATTCCATACAATGAAGCTAATATAATTGCAGCTAATGCAGCACATGATATAAAGCGTTTGTGTCCCATTATTCACAAACTGTTATATTAAGGTTATTATAGCATTGCAAGGTCGACTTTTCAATAATAAAAATATATTTCAATAAATACATTAATATTAGTATTAATATGGCTATGATAATAGTATAACAAATTTTAATATCCATTTACTATTATTATCGCAATGAGCCTAATATAGATGTGTTTAATTATAGATGGATGAATATATTGATTCGGTCCGTAATCTATATCAAAGTTATCAAAGTATTGAACAAAGACTGGCCACATTTAAACTTGGTTGGGATGAAATGTATTTTGTTTCTGCAATTTCACTAGCCGACGCTGGTTTTTATTCAATTGAAGTGATGGATTGTGTTAGATGTTTTAGTTGTGATAAAGGGTTATGTAATTGGAACTTGTGGGATGATGCATGGATTGAGCATGCAAAATGGTCGCCAAATTGCCAATACGTTATCGATATTAGGGGTCATGACTTTATTAATCAGGTTCATGATATTTCCCCACAAGTCGAAATAGAATTTGTCCCACCAGGTCAAGAAACTACTATAGCTACTGAGGAATTTCTAACTTGCAAGATATGTTATATAAATGAGATAGCAGTAGTTTTCCTACCCTGCGGGCATCAACTGGCTTGCCCAACTTGTGCCTCACAACTCTATGCATGTCCGGTTTGTCGGGGCCCTATAGTATTTGCCATTCGTACATACTTTTCATAGTGTTTCTGCCACCTCCCTTTTATGACAGTGATTAAGAATAGGCATATTAGATAGTGTTTTTAGTCTTTGTTAATAATCATGTCTGAAGATTACAAGTCGTTTGATCAAAGAATCTGGACTTACCCACCAAATATGTTAATATATTTTAGTATCGTCAAGCGTATGGCTGAAGCCGGGTTTTATTATACCCCTGACTCTGGCTTGCTTACATGTTTTCAATGTAAACTTACATTAAATTATCTAATTGGAGACGATGTGTGGGAAGCCCATGCTATGTATAACCCCCTTTGCAAATATGTTAGAGATGTCAAAGGGCAAGCGTTTATCAGTGCAAGTTTTAGAATATTTCGCACTGAGGAAATTGATGATATTCCATGTTGGCCTTTTTCTTATTTTGCAAAACCTAAGCCGGTTAAAGAACCTCCACCTTTAGCCGCAATTAAAGATCTTAAATGTAAGATATGTTTAGAGAATCAATTTGGAATTGCATTTGTACCTTGTGGTCACCAAGCGTGTATTCCATGTACCACTTCATTATATAATTGTCATATTTGTCGTACAAACATTATATGTAAATTACGTATTTATTTTAATTAATAAAATTTATTAATTGACCTAATCACGTGACGTCATGAAAACCTGTCAAACCGGTTTTGGGGTGACCTTAAATTGACCAATCAGAAGAGGCCATAGCTAACAAATGAGAGGAAGGGGGCGTGGCCAAGTATACCATTAAATAGGCGTGTTAAATGCCTATCAATTTATAAAAAGGGGCGTGGCATAAGTAGGCGTGGCTAGGGTGTGGCTTGGAGGAGGAGCTTGGCGGCCATCTTGGCGTCCGTATACAGACATCCTTACTACTGCAATAGTCTTCATAGAGATAGCACTTCTCGTCCGACGGGTTGAATGACCAGCGCTTCTGGAGATCCCTTTCGAGACAATCGGTGATCTCAATGATGGGTTCATCGCACAGATTGGGCGCCGGTTTAGTACACCACTCCTTCCCTTTGCCGGCCTTCGCGTCCTCTTTGGGCAATTTGTTGAGTCGGGCTCTCATCAGAAACTTGGGTTTTTGGGACCCGCTCTTCGGTGATGTTGTTTACGACCTTTTGGTTTGGGCTTAGGTTTAGGTTTGGGCTTAGGTTTAGGTTTGGGCTTAGGTTTAGGTTTGGGCGTTGGCTTCATATGGAGAGCGGGAGGGAAAGCGCCGGGTAGTGACGATTGCGAAGTATCATTTGATTAGTAATTATACGGTGAATACCCGGCAAACGGGAACATTGGTGGCGGCATATTATATACCTGAGCGCCGGGTGGGACCGACTGCCCATCGACTGGCCCATGCTTTTGTCAAAACCTCGTTATAATAAACAATTTAATTTAATATGGCACATTTAGTAGTAACACGTTTAGTAACAGTAAATTTAAATAAAGTTAATTTACAATAACTATAACAATTTGTATATTATTTTCTATTTATACCAGGTACATTTGCAACAAGACAACCATAATTCAAACAAAAATTACTAAACCAATTTCAAAAACATACAATATTTATTAAAAAGTAAAAATTTACATTTTATTAAATGATTAATTATAATAAAATACAAAATTGAACTAAATTTCAAAATAAGGGTATTATGAATGGAAATCACTGTTTCTTCTTCTGCTGCGCTTTCCTCTGAGCCAACGACACATTCTTCTTATTCTTCTTCATACCATTGTTTTGGTCGACATTAAGATCTCCCTAAGTTTGTTATACAAGATTGTTGTACAGTATTGATCGGCACTGTTTTTTTTAGATTAGCCAGATTCAAATTCACAATGTGCCATAAATAGGTGGCGCAACGGTCGTAAAAAGATTTGGCGATGACTTGTGTGAACACGTATTGTCTTATCTCTCATTCAGAGACCGATTCCGATATGAATTTGTGTCCAAAACAGTGGCGAAGACTCGTATATATGAGACAATTGATGACCAAATGAGTGATATATTTGAAACAATCGTTAAACAGAAATAAACACAATTATGAATGCAATCAAAGCATATAATAACTATCAATGTGTTTAATATATGCATTCATTTGAATAATTAATAATTCTTAATTTAATCATTTAAATATAATTTTAATATTGACTTGACACTTGGCTTTACTACTCCAACTTACTAATAGTAAGTACATTGCCTATTAATATTGTACAGTATCTGTACTGTCAGTACTATAAACTTTATAATAAGAGACTTATATTATAATAAATGACTGAAATCTAGTGTTTTATAAGATAAACTTTAAAATGACGTTATGTACGTATGCTTTAAAAATACTCATAAAAATGTGTTTGCCTGTTGTGTTTGTCATAAGCAAGATTATTCTATGAGTGCTGTCCATGGTGAAATTATGTCTTGAATATTTGATTATACAGTAAGTGTGTGAAGTTGTAATGTCGATATCATTACTACAATATAAAAAAAATTTAATAAGTTGTTTGGAATTAAAAATGTCTAAAAGTGTGTTACAAATCATTAGATTATTGGCTTAAAATATAATCTACTGTCATATAATATGACTCATACGTAAATCTATTTAATAGACTTATTTTGAATTCAATTTCATTTATAATATTCTGTAGTTATAGAAATTCAACAATAATATGAAAATGTGAGTAGATTTGAGAGAGAGAGAGAGAGAGACCCGGCTAACTCAGCATAACTGAATTTCAGTTAGGGGTTTTTTATATTATACCTTTAATATGGGTTCTATAGAATTACTATAGAATTAGTATTGCCCATAGGATAATCATTTCTCCCATAGA